TTTACCTTCAACAGTTTCACTACAATCAACTTCTGCTTTTGATTGGATATCGACGTCCTTAAGCTCTTGTTCACTATCCTTGTATAAAATCTAAAATTAAAAAAATGAGCGAAGAATGTATGGTTTAACAAAATAAGACTTACTCGTGGAACCATTGCCTTGATATCAGGCAAGCTTTCATAAAATATTCGGGTATCCTCATCCTCAAAAAGCACTGTTTCACCCTCTATAGAAATCTAGAATTAGGAGAAATTATCGAGGATGTTTTCTTAAAAAATACAATATTACCTCATCCTCAGTCATCGGCATAATCTCAGCAGATTCGTCAACACCTAATAAACGAAAAAAAATGATCAAAAGTTCCATGCAAATGAAAGAATACATACCTTTGATCATTGACATGAGATCGGGAGGAGGATCTTCATTTAAAAGATCGGATAGGATTGAAACGGAATCGTAGAATTTTCGACAGGTAGTAACAAGCAGTTCAGCCTGCTCATGTCGCGTCTCACTTACCTCCCCACGCATAGTCAAATCGATCCGATTTTTATCTAATGTACGGCTAGCTTCACGGCATATTTCTCTGAGACGTTGCTTAGCGGCACAAAGGTAATCCGAGAAAAGAACGCGGCATTTAACGTGACGCTCGCTGGGAAGAAAGCAAGAATGAGGAATCGAGATCTTTTTTTCTTCTGAGATTAGCCTGCAAATATAAAACTCTTAGAAAGTATAGGTAATATATGGATAAAGCTTAAATCAAACAAAACCAATGCCAAACTCACCGAATCTTTCGAGGAATCAATCCAGCAAAATCGTCGCCACAATGTCTGCAAAAGCTTGATATGACCCCAAGATTAATAAAATTTTCGCGGTCATTATTGGTAAGAAGAGTTAATTGGTTGGCTAGTAGCCTCATGCTTTCTGTTTCCGGAAAGAGGCTAATCGTTATAAGTTCAGCATAGAGAACCATATCAACACGAAGTTTGGACATGTTTGGTGACTTAAAAAATTATTTAAGTACAAGTACCTTCTCTTCACGAAGAGATGTGAAAATCTGTTTCCATTTATCAAAAAGAAGACAGCTAAATTCAGCATAACGCTGGTGCATCATCGAACAGAAACGGAGGACAAAATTTAAGTCCGTTATTTTGAATTTGGCTTCCACTAATGCCGAGGCTACTTCCCCAACGTATTTGGAAAGATTAAGCGACTCGAATTCACTTAGTATTGCATTTTTTTGACTGTCAAGGAAATTACGCTAAAGAGATGGATGGTAGGCATTACTTACCACTTTGCGAACGAATGCAGCATTTTTCTTCAATGATGAATCCTTTTTCACAAAGAACTCTTCGTCCGGCCACTTATCACATATTGCTTTGTTAGATTCGGCCAAAGATAATTTCAAGTTTAGCTTTCGAGTGACTTCATCAACGTAGTCATTTATAAATTTCTAGAAAAATAATATATGGAAGACAGCTGCTAACCAAGTCTTCCTTCTCGTTTTTTAAGACTCGAGTTTCGTTAACCTCCGACATACGAGACGTGAGTTTATAACGTAAAGAGAAGAGATGATGAAAGAAGGTTCGGATACAGCGGGGTGAGAAAACGAAGTGCGCAGAACATTGGACCTCAATGTAGGCTGCAATAGGATTATTCAAATATGATTTTAATGATATACTTCCATTTCTAAAATTTTGTTTTACTTATTTTAATAAGATAATTTATTAATATAATGATGCTCCTAATGTCGTTATAAAATAAGAGCGCGAATATTGCATCGTTCTTTCGGCACACCTGTGCTAATTGTTATGGGCAAAAAACAACATCAGAAGGATAAACTGTATAAATTATTTTTTTAATTTTTAGATGGATTACATGTACAGAATGGAGCACTTTATATGGGGGAAGGAGGGCTAATGAAGCGGTAAAGGGCTTCAGAAGATTACCGTATTTTTGTTGCAGGTAATTTCCACAACTCTTTTACGTTCGGCAGCATAAGTTTGCAGCCTTTTACTACACCATATTGCACTAAAGAAGGAATCATATTTGATCTGGAGTATGTTATTATCCATATTGAATATTAATAGAAATATTCTCCCTTTTATAAAGAAGCATGGAGTCAATCCGGTTACTGGAGAGGTATACCTTATTAGTAATTTAGTTTTTTAGAAAATGAAATTGTCCGAATT